CAGGCTCTGAGCTGTAGGCACAGAGCCCGATGTGGGGCTCAAAGTCATGAACGTGAGATCATGACCTGAGCTGAAGTCAGACACTTAATGGACTGAGCCTCCCAGGTGCCCCCAAACCCTCCCTTTTCCATCAAGAGAACATATACTGCAAGAATGAAGTTACTGAACAATTATCACAGTGCTACCTATACCTTTTGGCTCGTCAGAGCCAACATTTGTGCAAGGGCAATCTGTATTAACTGCTTCTATTTCCTCCCACTTCAAGTGGCTACAATTTGACTCCTGTCCTATTATTCCACCTGAACAAGGCTCCTAACAGCCTTCATTTCATTTAACCCAATGGTTTGCTTCCTGTGCATTTTTGTGGCTGAACCTATATGCTGATGGCTCCCAAATACGTATTTTTTTCAGTCCATCTCTCTCCTGAGCAGTGAGTACTTACACCAAAAATCTGTCTAAAATACTTATTATTGTGTATGTAACATTCGTGAAGGAACAGGGCTAGGTGCTGGGGATGTATTGTGAGCATACTTCCATCGCATTATCATGCATTGCCTTTAGCCACATAGAAAAATGGTACTTGTGCTAAAAAGCAGCAACTAATCCTACAAATGTAAAAAAGCAAAAGTAACAAGTGCTACCTGTGTTTTACCAGAAATGTCCGGAAGGGCTTTCCAGCAAGGGACCCTTAACTAGAGACCTAGGGGATAAAAGTATTTACTATAAGAGAGAATGAAAAACATCTGAGATGAAAGTGAGTTCCAGGAAAAAACATCTCTGAGAAGGGAAGAAATGTGGCACTTACAAAAGACAAGAGAGACAGGGCTGGAGTGGAGACAAGCAGGGAACTTGGTCGAGGGTGAGACTGGGAGGGCTGGCAGACAGCCAACCACGTAGTGCCTTTTAAGAGAGTTAAAGGATAATTTCCCTGATAAAGGCAAAAGTATGACTGCCATATACATATAAAATGAATTTATATTATAGTCTATGTAACTATAATGAAGCTACCAGGCAGATGTTAAAACTTGTTCAAAGAACAGACACACTTCTGGGTCAGGAATAGTGACATGAATTTGCAAATGGACATAAAACCAGCTTCTTCCACAATAGGGGAGATACATTAATTGAATCCTGACCTTCAGAACTTATTTGCATGTGCATTGACAAGAATTATTTTGCACTCCTGTTATCTGGACAGTAACTCAAAAACAATGAAACAACATAAAAACACAACGAAAGAACTCATGGAATCCTAAGAACAAGAAAAACCATCCAAAGGGTAGGATTAGATAGGGAACAGGGGTGGAGGTTGACAGGACTGAAGTGCACTGTGGCTGCAGTTTGGAGACTGGAGGAGGGTGTGGCTGAAGAAATGGATTTATGAGAAAGCTATTATAGAACCCACATAAGTGCTGACCTATTAATAAGTTGGCTCTGGCAGGTGGTAGGTGATACAGCTGGAGAGAAGCAGCCAGATTTCTGCAATCTCTATACAGAGTGGACAAGAGAAAGAATGGGGAGAGACAGGTGACAAGAAGGGCTCCTTGGTTTCTGGCTTGCTCTTCTTGTTGGTGATATTCGCTAAGAAAAATGGAACACTGAAAGATGAACCAGCAGGAGTCTGGTTTGGGGCATGCTGAGTTTTTGGTCTCTGAGACTGGCTGTTAGACATATGCCTGTCTGAGGCTCAAACGAGAGGTCTGGTTTAGAAGTAGACACCTGAGGAGTCAGTGGCATGCAGGTGGTCACTGAAGCTACGGGAGTGAATGAGAATGTCACATCTGTGCCTCTGTAAAATGGGACAACGGCAACACTTCATGTTTGCCAAATGGGATGGACCATCGTAACATGTACCATATGTAAACTACTTAGAACCTTGTCTGGTAAGTGCTAATTCCTCAATAAATGAAGGTAATGATCATTTATCTCCTTTGGCAAACATTCTCTTAAAGGGCCAGATAGTAAATATTTTATGTTTTGAGGACCATGTGGTCTTTGCTAAATTACTCCAATCTCGGGGCGCCTGGGTGGCTCAATCGGTTGAGCCTCCGACTTCGGTGCAGGTCATGATCTCGCGGTTGACGAGTTGGAGCCCCACGTCGGGGTCTGTGCTGATGGTTCAGAGCCTGGAGCCTGCTTCAGATTCTGTGTCTCCCTCTCTCTCTCTGACCCTCCCCCATTCATGCTCTGTCTCTCTCTCAAAAATAAACATTAAAAAAAATTTAAAAAAAAAAAATTACTCCGATCTGTCAATGTGTGGCAAAAGCAGCCGCAGATAATATGTAAAAGAACAGTCAAGGCTGGGTTCCCATAAAACTGTATTTTCAAAAACAGGACACAGCGGATTTGGCCTGCGGGCTGTAGGCTACTGACCCCTACTCCATGCAGCTGCCCTACCGAGAAACATCAGGGTCATCCTTCAAGCACAGCCAAGTGATCACCAACGTCTATACATTCTACCTACAAATATCCTGACAGTCGCCGTTTCTCCAGCCATATTATTGCCACCCTGGTACCAAATAGCTTCCAAGTAGCCTCTGTATCTTCAGCCTTGCTTCCCCTTAAGCCATTCTTAGCATGGCAACCAGAGAAATCGTCTCAAAATGCAAATCTGAACATTATCTCTTCTTGGCCAATAAAATCCTCAAACTTTACATCATCCTGGTGACAAAATATTTATTTATTAATTTATTTAATTTATTTTTAAGAGAGAGAGAGTGTGTGTGAATGAGGGAGGGGAAGAGAGAGAGGGGGAGAGAGGATCCGAAGTGGGCTCTGGGCTGATAGCAGCAAACCCGATCTGGGGATCAAACTCAAGAACCGCGAGATCATGACCTGAACTGAAATCAGAGGCTCAACTGACTGAGCCACCCCGGGCGCCCCTGTGGCAAGGTATTTTAGCCAGCTC